CGTTAATAAAGGGATCCTTTGTTTAGTAATGCTTAATAATGCACTAAGTAACATTAATAAAGGGACCCTTACTGTAAAGTAGTACCAAAACAAATTAAGCTGTGAAGTTCTTCTGAAAGGCTGTTTGATTTTATTACTGTTATTTTCTACGGCAAAATCTAACAGGATGCTTCAAACTGGTCATTTCTATTTAAACTCTAACTTCTTCTAAAACTTTCTCTAAAACAAAATTGAAACACCATCTTTGGGAGCATGAAAAGCTTACAAAGGTCTGTGAATATATTTAAATCAGACCAGAGCATATTGAGCTCAAAAACATCCTGCGGAGGATGGCGATGATCTAAATTTAATACAACTCTGGGTCACAGTGAACTGGTTCAGCTGGAAGAAATGACAACCAGAACGCATGCTTTAAACTGCAGGTCTACACCTACAGAGTTGTCTCTGGAATGTAACGTTGCATGCTAAAGTTAGCTTGTCAGGTGAGAGGCGGGGGACTCCCTGGACAGGTCTCACGTCCATCACAGGGACAAACAGACACAAACACACACTCTCACCAGGGGGCAATGAGTGTTGGCAATCACACTGACATGGATCTCTCCTGCCAGAAAAAAACCCACACAAGCAGGAGGGAACCTGCTAATTCCACACAGACAGGCTTCAGCCAGGGTTTGACCTATGACCTTCTTACTGCAAGGTAACAGTGCTACCAACTGGGCCTCAATGAAACACCCATGATGACCTGAGTTGACAGATAGTCTTTAATATAAGACAGACAGTAAAAACGATATATATATACCTTCTTTCTACCTTCATTTCATCTTCCCTCAACTAATAAGGAATTGTTAATAAATAGGGTGAAGCTGGAGCAGAAAGAAACTTTCATGAGTGTTTACTTTCATCTAGTGGACACTGGAGTGAACTACACACCAGAGAGTAGCAGAGATTAAACAAATGATCCGCATGAATCAAGCTGACCATCTTTTTTTATTTATTTTTAAAGGTTGTGTTCATAATGTTTATGGACAGGATTGCAACATGCAACCGTGGTGTTGAGGGTGTGGAGTTTGGTGGCAGGAGAAGCTCATCTCTGCTTTGTGCTTATGATGTGATCCTCTCATCGGGCTCTGACCTACAGCTCTTGCTGGGGAGGTTCGTAGCTGAGTGTGAAGCAGCTGAGATGAGGATCAGCAACTCCAAGTCTGAGACCGTGGTTCTCGACTGGAAAAGGGCGGCTTGCCAACTCCAGGTCGGGAGAAAGGTCCTGCCTCAAGTGGAGGAGTTCAAGTATCTTGGGGTCTTGTTCACAAGTGAGGGAAGGAGGGAGCGGGAGATCAACAGGCTGATCGGGGCAGCATCTGCAGTGACGCGAACGCTGAAGCGGTCTGTTGTGGTGAAGAAGGAGCTGAGCCGGAAGCAAGGCTCTCCATTTTCCAGTCGATCTACCGCCCAGTCCTCACCTATGGTCATGAGCTTTGGGTGATGACCGAAAGAACAAGATCACAGATTCAAGTGGCCAAAATTAGTTTTCTCTGCAGAGTGGCTAGGCTCAACCTTAAGGATAGGGTGAGGAGCTCGGAGTAGAGCCGCTGCTCCTCCATATCGAGAGGAGTCAGTTGAGGTGGTTGAGGTATCTGGACCCGGATAGGCGGAGGAAGACGGAGGTTAAGTTTCATTCGTTTCACACTTACGGTCAGCTTGCAGCTGATTGAGGAGGAGTTCAGATGAAAGACCAATGCTTCCAAGTAGAGGCAGACTGATATATCTGTCAGTCGATTACAACGGGCCAATATTTACAAATTTTTAATTGGTTAAAAACTGCTTAGAAATGCTCAGGAAAATTATTTTCAACTAAATTTTCTTATGATTTGCCAGTTTTGAATATTTAATACTTGGTCAGTTTACTAATTTGTTTGATTAACTTTAGTTAGATGTCTGATTTTAACACTGAAATGTGCACAAAATTGATATTTAACAGCTCGTTCAACTCAGTGTTTTATGAATCATCTGATTAGCATGAAAATTAGGTGGGAAATGTCTAGATGTCAACCATGGAAATCAGCCACAAAAATCAACAGCACATCAGCCATCGGCTGACCATGACCTTTACCTATCCACATCGGTGTAGAAAAACCAATATTGGTCGACCGCTACTTCCAACTCTGAGGTCTTGATCCTCAGCCAGGGACCCAGTTGTAAAGTGGCAGTGAGCTGCGGAGAACTAGGGAGTTAGCAGGAGATGGACTGGGATAACATCTGCAATGGTGTTAATGCTTTGCCCATCTGTAATACAAATAAGAGGAAGTAATAGTTTAGTAATAGTAATAGCAAAGAGGAAACTGATTTCCATAACTGAAGTGGTCAATTTAGAAAACTGTTCTCTGTGGGCATATGAGCTTCCTCCACAAAGTGACTTACAGTTACAGATGGGGTGAGGAGAGGAGACCTGCTCTTTTGAAGGAACACAGTTGCAGTTCCTCGTCATTGAAAAGAGCCTGTAGATATGCCGGTAGTTTGGGCAACTAGGAAGAATGAGTTTCAGTTGTGTGCAATTTGCAGGAGACCTCAGGGCAGACCGCAGGTTTTTGCTACAGTGATTTTTTTCTTCAAACCAAACCTGGAAAAGACTCTTGGTCTCTCCCGAAGAGCTAGACGCAGTGATGGAGTGAGGAAACTGAGAAACTCTGCTGCAGCTGTTGTTTGAGCAACCTGATCTCAAAAACTTCAGAGGATGGATAGTTGTTTCTAATGAATGAATAATTGTGTTTACTGTAGTTACATTTAATGGAACACACCAAGGGGCTGCACAATGGTGCAGTGACTAGTGCTGTTGCCTTGCAGCAAGAAGATGCTAGGTTCAAATCCTGGACTGGGGTCCTTCTGCATGGAGGTTGCATGTTTTTCCTGTGCATGCACGGGCTCTCTCTGAGTACTCTGGCCTCCTCTCACAGGCTGTGTCTCAATTCAGGGTCTGCATCCTACCTCGGCCGGATTCGTCGGCCGGTTACGTCACAGCGCCGCGACTCGGCCTGTCCCAATTCGAAGACTCCTTCAAATGCGGTCGACGAATGCGGCCTTCTTTTCGCCTGAATGAAGGATGGGTCGGGTGTATCCTTCAATAGGTAGCATTTCCCAAGATGCCTTGCGGGCCGGCCGGCAGGCAGAAAAACTTAAAAACAATGGCGGACAGTGAAGCGGGAGCTGTCGGAGAGGATTGCGCTTATAAATGTAAGTATAAACTTGAAAACTGTCAGTTTAAGGACTTTTTGTGATACATGAACGTTATTTTAGTTAGAAATGTTACAGTAAAAGTGCTTGTATTGCGGTCTCGGCTCGTATGTTCGGCCGCGCTCGGTGTCGCACTTCTCCCGCTACGTTTCCCCCTGATTTTAATAGAAGTTTGTATTTTAGGACCAAAAGAGAAAACCAGGGAATTTATTAAGCTTAGGGCGGAGATGGACCACATGATCACCGGAGCAAAGTATTCGGCGGCTGTGGCATGGAGGTACAATAACATCTCATATTTTAAAAACTCGTTTGAGTATATTTTTTTCTGCGAAAACATGAAAGGAATAACCCGTTGTCCTCTTTTCTCTTCCTGTTTCTTTTCTTACATGTTTGTTAAGACTATTCTGGAGAAAATGGGCATCCAGGGGAAGGTGCCAGCGATGAGCTTCTGGAGCTGATCTGGGAGGACATGAGGCTGCAGAGCAGCAGAGAGCACAGGAGAGAAGGAAGAACTTTGACAGCTTTTTACTTTGCTAGAAAAAAATGGTTAATGAAGATTAAACATGTACATGTAAAAGAAATATCTAAATAAAATCAGTTCTGCATTAAACTCTTGAATTTTATTTTTGTTTACAAATGAGAATTGTTTACTAGAGGGTATCCGCTGGGTCTTGAAAAGTCTTAAAAGGTGATAAATCGGTTTTGGTCAAAGTAAGACCCTTAGAAAGTATTAAAAACTATTATCACATCTTTGCTCAGGCTCAGCTAGTCTAAAGTATTTTCTCTGAATTAGCTCTCCAACAGTCAAGGAAATGATTAACCCCCAGAGACCCACGGTTGTAGTATTACAACATCAGATTTAAGTCTACAAAAATAAACCTTCCCCATTTTTTTTTCTTTTTAAAACCACATTTACATTGCTAATAGGTCCTATTCAGTTCTGCAACACTATTGGCTGTTAAAATGTGTAAATAGGCCCGTTTATCTGGCCTCCTAGAACAACATGTGAAAGGTTAAAAAATATTTTGCAGTTGTTTTCTAAATTTGGGTTTCTGGGGGTTAAAAAGCTAAATAAAACGTCGAGCTCCATCATTTAAGGTTCCTTCTGCCCAGCGGTTCCACGGTTGCTAAGCGACGGAACGTTCGCCGAGGGAGTTCATGAAGGCTAGGCCTGTCCAAATTCACAGCCGTTAACATCCGGTCTACCCGGCCGACGGAGGACGCAGCCCACGTCGGCCGGGTGGGCTGGGTCCTTCGAAGGATGCAGACCCTGAATTGAGACACAGCCACAGTCCAAAGATATGACTGTCAGGTTAATTGGTCCGTCTAAATTGTGTGTGTGTGTGTGTGTGTGTGTGTGTGTGTGTGTGTGTGTGTGTGTGTGTGTGTGTGTGTGTGTGTGTGTGTGTGTGTGTGTGTGTGTGTGTGTGTGTGTGTGTGTGTTTCTCTTGTAACAATGTGAAGAGTCTATTGAATTTGATTGTATTGAGGTTGTTTTGAGGTTTTCTCTATGTCTCCATCTTTAATCACACGACCTCATCTTTTGGATCCACTGGTGGTTTTGTGAGAGAACCGTGATGTGAAACAAAAACACTTGTACAGAAAAGGACTGTACTACCACACAGAGCTATAGGCCTATCAGCTGATGCGACGGTAGCGGCTTCTTGGAGACAGTTGCCAGGGAGACTGGTGTACGTCATTCTGTAGCAGTTGCCATGGTCTTCCTGACGTCAAAGCCCCTCGCAAGATGCTTAGGAAACCCCCTGGCGCCGTTACCATGGACACTCGCGGGGGGAGGGGTGGGGTTTAGAGGAAGCGGAAAAGTCAGAGCAGGCGGAAGTGGTACTGCCCTGAATACCCTGAGCTGCGAGCGGAGGACGGCTTGAGAAACTCCCATCGTTGAACGAATAAAATCAGGATCCCTAATTCGATTTAAATGTGAGTTTACTTTCATATCAGTGGACTAGTGCCTTAAATGCCAGTCGGGGAGCGTGTTGGGAGTGGAGCAGTAGGTGGAGCAGTGATCCTTCTCGCTGGCTCTGCGGCGGAAAGTGCCTATTGTAGTAACGGGCAGGATGCGAAGATTTAGGCCAGAGAATGTGGCCACAGTACGAGAAATAACCCACGAAACACCCATAATGATGTTGCATGTGTTATTTGAGCAGACGTTCGGCTATAAATTTAAATTTCACAAGCACAGAAAAGCGTCGATGCGAACGCGGATTCCGTGTGGGGAGGGCGAAACGCCTGACTCCAGATTGGCCATTTTGACACTTAGCAGCGGCCTAGCAATCGTGATAGCGCCTCGGACATTGTAGCATCTACGGCTTGGCACAGGATTTCGCTTGTAGCGAAATTGGGCCCCAGCTGCATGCTGTATCGGCATTAACAGATGTTTCCAAATCGTTATCGCTGCATGATGATTGACAGCTAGTATCACGGCTGTGAACACCTTAGCTCCGTCATGGCGCAGTGGAAGGGTGCTAACACATCCTTCAGATTTCTCACGAGTTTCTATGAAACGTAGCTTTCGTTTCCACGAAACAAAGTATTTATACGCGATACGACGAAACGCAGATTATTGTTGTGGATGAAAAGCTACATTATGGATGCTGTTAGTGACAGAATTCGTATCTCGGCCCTCGGTTGGGTGTCGGCGCAGATTGAACTGGGTCAGGTCTGGCTGCTAGCTGCTAGCAGCTAGGCTAACAGCGAGAGCTCGGCGGTAATCTGTGTCTCCATCTTAAAATCCCGCAGGGGAATGCGACAAGGAGGGCGTAGCTGCTAGCGCTACACAGAAACAAATGTCCCCCACGGCTGCTTCTAAACACACGTCTTGAGTTTTTGGGTAGTGGTCTGTATGTTTGTTTAAGAAAAGATGCTGCTCTTCGTTTTTATTTATCCTTTTACCCTGCTCCTTTCCCTTTCCTTCTATGTATAGCGTGTTAACAGCTAGCCAGGTAGTTGGATAACAGCCCTGCACGTGTACAGTGCATAGTGCTGTGCCAAATTTTAGCTGTGCATCTGGGCAGAGATTGGTCGATTTTAATCGACCTGCGCGTAGCCATTTCCGTCTATTCAGAGCTGTAGCTGGGCATGCGGAATTTTAAACGTTGGCCATTTGAATATACGTTTTGACAACGTGCGCTAAAGTATTCCCAGCGTTTGCGTAACTTTCTTATTTGTGTTTTGATTTTTAATGTTTATTTTTTTTGGCAGAAAGATGCATTCTCTCATCATGATGTAATGTCTTCCCTTAGTTTTTATTTTCTTCTTTATGAATCTGGTGAGGAGTGGCACCAAAAAGTCATTAATTAGAACTTTTGGTGACTTCCTTGTGTCATTACCGAAACTTTCTGACAGAATGCGTTTCAGTGGATGGCTATACTTAATTCATCGTTATTTATGTTGGCCATTCTTATGTGACAGCACATAGACATATTTTCTAGAAAAACTCTAGTTGTTTATGTGCTAAATTAAACACGTGTGTGTGTGTGTGTTGTGTAAATACACGTGTACAGTAAGATTGACTAACGTTATTGATTTTGAGGATATAATTAAATGTACAGAAAAAAGCCACATCCACACAGGATTTCCTCACTAATGCCTCAAAATTGGATAAAACCACTGAACTACTTCCCTGTTAGCATACTAGAGCAGTTGGCTGTTCCTGGGATCAATAAAGAGACGGTGTGTAGGTCTTTTCCATTAATCTCTGAAAATATCTATTGAAATTTTGTTAAACGAATAAGAAAATGCCCAGTTGTTGAAAAATATTGTTGTTTCGTAACACCTGACCATAAAAATTGAGGATAATACATGGGACTAGGTCTGAGTCGCTGTATGACGCTCTATTAGATGCCATGTTTCCTTCTACGGGAGCCCGTTAGGACAACATAGGCAACAAAGGGTTACAAAACGTTTGCATTCATAAACATTGTTGTGTTTGTGCTCATTTACCTCTTCACTTGTTGCCAGTGATGAGTCTTGATGTGCTTTTCATTTTGCTGGAGCTTGCACTCCTCAGGATTTTTGACCGTAATGGTCATTTGTTAGTAAGGTCTTACTCGAACAGAAAAATACTGCGTACTTGCAATGATTTAGGTATTTACTGCCCCCTATCTAGGGATGGGTACCTTAGACATTTGAATTGATTCTGTACTATTCCTGGTACCTAGGAATCGATACCGGTACTTAACGGTACCAATGTTAGATACTTTTGAGTGTTTAATATTTTATTTCGCTTACCTTAGAGATAAGCGACCACCGAAGCGAGAAGAGGTGATTGAATAGTGCGTGCGTTGGGACGCTTGCTACTTATAGTAGCAGGACGTGTACGTCACGGTCACTGGCCAATCAGGATTGGCGTATTGAGATAAGTGCTTCTGAGGAATCCGCGGAGGGGCGTATCCCATAGTGAGACATCAAAACGAATGTTAAGAAAGAGAACCATATTTGATAAATATCACGATAAATTACAACTGTCGTCCTTGTAGTTTTATAACCTGATAATTAAATTGAAGCAAACATCTTTACTGTGAGCTAAATTTACTATGTATCTTCATTCCCTTTGCCGTCCTTTTTCGTTTGATTTTTCCTACTGGGAAGTTGGAATTTCCGAGGAGAAAGCGAACGCACCATTAGCTGATAGCAGTGGTGGCAATGGAAGCTAATTTATCAAGCTAACGTTATCTTAAACAGTTTATTTAGCTGCTGGAGCAGATTAAAATGAAGATGCCTCATACTTAGATCGTTGTCACTGGTTTCGTCTTCACCCGTCGCATTTAGTAAAGTGAAGCCAAACTTTAGAGCGCGTTCATGTTCTTCTAGTCTTGAATTCGGAGTTCAGAGGAGAAAGCGAACGCACCATTAGCGAAACGGAAGCGAACGCACCATTAGCGAAACGTAAGCTAACATATCAAGCTAACGTTATCTTAAACATTTTATTTACCTACCGGAGCAGATTAAGATGAAGATGTCTCACTTAGATCGTTGTCGCTGGTTTCATCATCACCCAGTTACCCATCCCATTTAGTGAAGTGGACCCAAGCTTTAGCGTGCGTTCTTTCTACCATGCTGCTCTGTTTACAACTGGCTCGCAGCGACCAACGACATAACGCTCTGACGCATGCGCAGCTGCCTAGGCAAGTTCTCGTTATGAAGGACGGGTTCCGAAACGAGGCGCCATTTCAAATGACGTGAATCGGTGCTCAGTCAGTACTACAGAATTTGGTCTGTACATTTAAAAAGTACCGAATTCAGTACCCATCGCTACCCTTATCACTACGTAAAATATACATTGTCACTTTAAGAGTAAAACAGCAGCATTTTCATAATAAAATGTAATTTCTATTAATTCATTCTCAAATTTCATTTGAAGTGAACAGGGGAAAAAGGTGTCCAGGTTTCCCCCAAAAATCCTGATACGCCTGGCGGACCGGAATGTGGGAGGGGCGGGGGTTGAAGGGTGCGCACAAAACGTTCCACTATAGTTCCTCGTCCATGAGAGCAGGGGGGGTCTGGGGTCGTAACATCCATTGAGCCTCCAGGCTTCTGGCGGACTCCTTGTCCGACCGGTGCTGGTCAAGAGTTCTCTTGATTCCGTCCCCACTGAAGGATCAGAGATCTAGTGGAGAACTGGGCTTATGCTGAAACTTCTTCCATGGTACACAATCAAATAATTTAGCATTCGAGCTAAAGCAGCTAGCCCTGCTCTGGCCTCACTTTCTGTTCAGCAGCTCCAAGCCCAGAACTTTGAAGTGCCTTGAGACGACTCTAGTCGTGATTTGACGCTATATAAATAAACTTGAATTGAACATGTGCAGAGGGGTTGGGGGCAGTTTGATTGATTTATTAGGATCCAATCACTAAGAATTGAACGTTCACAACAATTGCATGAGGTTTTTGTAGGGTTGCACAATACATGGCAAATGTATCGTCAACGCGATCTCGGCATGTGCAATACGCATATCGCAAAGCACAGAAAATACGCAACGTATAGTCAGCTCAAATGTTTTTTTACACATAATGCGTTTTGTCGGTCAAATGGAAACATGAAGTTTTTGACAAATCATAGACCTATTTGGCCATTCGGGTGGGTTCTTGTAGGTTCGATGCCCTGCCCTATAGGCGGACAGTACTTAATCTGGATGGCAAGAAAAAACCAGAGTTAGCTTTGTTCTGCTTTCCCCAGGATCCACTGATCATCGTTATCGCCGGTTTTCCTAATATCGTGCAGCCCTAGTTTTTTGTGTGTTCATTTCAGATGTAATAACAATTTTTACCGATTTTGATAAAACATTTAGTTTATTGGTTGCCATCTGTACGGAAGAGGCTTTCAAGCAACATGACAAAAAGGCTCCAGAGAAACATCTACTGCGTGTTTGAGTTTGGCTGCTGCTGTTGGTACTTGGAGATGTTTCATCTTAGTCTTTTGAGTCGCCGTCATCGTGATGCCAACTGTAACAGACATAGGTGGTCTTGAGGACGTTAGCAGGTGCTGCTGTCAGCCGTCAGATGATATCAGTTAAGTGACGTAACAGTTGTGTCAACAGTTACAGATTAAGAGAAAGATGTGGGATTAAAAATTAGCATTTTTGGATGGCAGTAGCTCAGGAAGTAGAGTGGGTTGTCCAGTAATCGGAATGTTGCAGGTTCAATTCCGCCTCCCACCAGAGAATGCTGCTGTTGTGTCCTTGGGCAAGACACTTAACCTGCGTTGCCTGCTGGTGGTGGTCAGAGGGACCGGTGCACCTGTGTGGCAGGCCTCGCCTGTGCTAGTGCGCCCCAGGGCCACTGTCACTATGTTGTCGCTCATTACCACCGTGTGAATGGGTGGATTGTGTTTATGTTTAAGTATTTAGCAGACGCTTTTGTCCAAAGCAACTTGCAGGTGATAATCAAGCCATCAGGTTGCCCTTGAGGCTAACAAAATACACTATTCAGTCAATTTTGCCTCCAACAAGTCGCTGACACTCTCAAACCCATGAGACAAAGATCTCAAAAGGTTAAACAGTGAGAGAATATAAAGTAATCTGAAAGCAGGACTAATCATGGACTAAAGGGGAAAAAAAGATTAGAACAAGTTTTAGTGTTCCACCCACAGATCAGAAGATTCTTTTCCACCTGGAAACACTCGGCTCGAAGGTACCGCCTGACTGATAGTCTTGTAAAGTGCCTTGGGGGGTTGTAGAACCCTAAGAAGGCGCTAAATAAATAGCTATTTACCATAGAATTTCTCTTCCATTCTACTAAATGGTTGCTGAACTCTTGGACGTGTTATTTTTCCACTTGAAGCCCTGGTCCCACATTCCTTTTACAGTATTTTACTTCATGATTATTTTTGACTCTATGCATTAATAATATAAATAAAACACGTCCTAAATGAGGACAAAGGTTTAATAATAACCCTTTTTCACAAGTTAAAACTCGATCTTCATTTCTTTTAGATTCGTCAGGATTGGAAATACCTTTTATATTTTTAAATACATATATATATATATTAGTATATATATATATAGTATGTCTGTTTCTGCTGCTGTTATGTGGTCATTTAATTCAGATAATGAACAAATAATTGCTACGCCTTAAAGCATCATTTTGAGTGATCGAGGTGAGCCTGGCCTAGTTAGACCCAGATCTAGAGACCAAAGAGCCTCCCGGGATGAAAGGAAAAGCAGCTACTTCTCTGGAATAACTTAATTTTCTGATATGTTACTTTCTCAGTCATACATGTATTTATGTGCTTAATATATCAGTTAGCCTTCTACCTAAGTGGGTTTTATTTGGGTTTATTTATAGAAAAACAAATCTCTTCCTGCTTCATCAACATGCCACACTTTTAATATAGAATCCTTTTTTGTTTGATGTTATTTGCAGTCTTTTTTCCTTATTAACCATTCTTTCTTCTGGGTTTTGTTTCGTCCTGCAGCCTAAAAGATGGATAAGAACGACCTGGTGCAGAAAGCCAAGCTGGCGGAGCAGGCCGAGCGCTACGACGACATGGCGGCTGCCATGAAGGCTGTGACGGAGCAGCACCCAGAACTTAGCAACGAGGAACGCAACCTGCTCTCTGTGGCCTATAAGAACGTGGTATGGAACCCATCGGTGTCGTGGTGTGACTCTTAGTCTGGTTTACTTCAGGAGGGAGCTGACTTGAGTTTACGAACATACCAACAGTTATTCAACAATATTCTGATTTAAGTGAAATTCGAGCAAGTATATTAGATGTTTTGTCTGACACGGCTAACTTGCACAAGTCTGCATACCTCTGGACTGTAAAATCTTTCCTCGGTGGCAGGGGAAACCCTAACACGGGTAAACTTCTCCTCACATCTAGACTGAAAGCGTTGCTCTGGTTATGACGACGGCATTTTTCTCACCCTTATGACACAATCACACAGCTGTACACATTTCTTGTGACTACACAGCACAACTCCGTCCCAGTAAGTGCTGCCAAGTCAGAGGCACAGACCCCCCCCCCCCCCCCGGTTGAGTTGCGTAAATCACATAGAAGATTGTTTATTGACATCTCATGTTCAGAGGTTCAAACTAAATCCGATGTTAACAGTTTCACGTCCACAGCGGTCCAGCCTTTGCCCTCAGTGGCCTTTTCCAGCAGGTTTGAGAGGTTTCTCTGCTCCAGCACACCTGGTTCTAATCAGTGGTGACTTAACAGGCTCCTGCAGGTCTAGGTGACCTGCTGAGCAGGTGAATCAGGTGTGTTGGCGTAGGGAAAGGACTAAAGCAGGCTGGGTAGAGGCCCCTGAGGACCACTGGTCTACAGTTTCATCTTAATTTCTTTGGGTCTAACAACCAACTCAATTAAGCAGCTGGTTGTGGATTCTGTTTTCTGAGCATATTTTTTAAAAATGAAGGCTTCTGGCTTTTAATTTGGATCATAGTCGAGAAGCCTGAGTTCATTAAAATGATTAAAAGTTAAATATAAATCCTTATAAACTATGGATTGAGGGAAAACATCTGGTTAGTGATCCAGTGTGATGACTGGGGTTGGCTTTTCCTCATAACCTGCTTGTGAATGGGTTATGAGCCAAGTCTTTGCTGCCATGGTGATCTAGCGGCGCTCCAACAGATCTTTCATGATCCTGAAAACTTCAGCTTAAAGCTCGGTACAGTCAGCTGATCAGGAAATCAGGAGGAGTATTCCCGGTGCAACAGGACAGGACGAGCAGGCCGGATTATTTCTGAGTTTTCCACAAAGTTTTTCTAGTTAACAGATTTTGTAAGAGCCCCTTAGATTTCTCTGTGCTTCTACTGAAGGCTCTCTTCTTTTAGCATCCTAGTAAAAGATGGTGCTGCTGGGTACTTTGAGGATTACCTGCACCCAGAAGTCTGATTATATTTAATTCACACATTGAACATGAGTTCTGTTACATATGAATCAAGTAAGAAAACAGCTTTTTGTGTATCGGTTGAAAGGTGTACGATAGGATTTATGAGTGTGTGTCCATGTTTTAGTCACGGTTTCTTTCACACACATTTTAGCTGTTCACATCTGGGTTTTTTACGTCTTAAGGTGGGGGCTCGCCGTTCATCCTGGCGTGTCACCTCCAGCATCGAGCAGAAGACCGAGGGGAATGAGAAGAAACAGCAGATGGCCCGTGATTACCGCGAGAAGATCGAGGGCGAGCTCCGAGAAATCTGCGACGATGTGCTGGTAGGAATGTGAAGAGTGGACGGGGAGTTGTATTTAATCCAGGGGACTCCTTTTAAACCCAACTCAAAAGCGTGATGCTGTTGTTTACAGTGAAGTCAAATAAAATGATGCATGCTCTGATTTAAAGCTGAATTTGGGGAAAGGAAGGAAGCCTGCAGAGCGACTTAAAGGTGAGGTGCAGTTGAATGTTTGCGGTCTGCACCTTTAAAGTGGCGTGCTGGCTGCAGCACGGCTACGTTACGGCGCCTGAACCTGCTGTGACTTGAGTAGTTTACAGCTCAACTCTGTTGGAAGTCCTGCTTTGCTACACAAGCGTGGGACTTGGAGAAGCACTCATATAAGCAATTGTCCGTGACCACTTTTCAGATTTATACTACAAATTGCTTCTCAAGCTGCTGACTCTGTCACATCTTGGTCGGGAGGGAAGAGACATTTGCTCAAGGTTAAATTAAACTCGGGGTTTTCAGCGCATGAGCCGACTTCTAATAATATCATCAAGGTCAGACTATCTTAAAGCCTCAGTGGTGATGTGGTGCGGTAGGAATGAAGGGAGGACGGGATGGGTGGAGCCACGGTGTCCTCGTAGCAGCAGCAGCTGGGGGAGACGACGCCACACACCAGGATCTGTTTTTGTGGATGAATCCATCCTTTTCTCCACTCGCCCCGTAAACAAATGTAGAGGCTGTTAGTATTGGTTTGCTGTCGCGTCCAGCCATAGCTGGTGACAGCCGATGCTTGTTTAACGAGGCCCCAGGCGAAAGGTTTTAGAGGTTGATTACATCTCTGAATTCCTGAGCAACTTTTACAGGAATTAGAGGAAGCCACCTGAAGGCATTGTCAACTAGTTATGGATGACATCGTCACAAACAACGAGGTGGGAACCTTCTGAATTTTGCCACTAAAATCCAGAAAACCCTAAACGGTGACCATGTACTCTCAGGCCAGATTAGAGGAGTCAGCTGATTAAAACGCGGCTCCTCCAAAGGTCTCCACATCATCACTAAAACAAAGCTGGGTTCAGAGCAGAGATGCTCCGAGGTAAAGTACCAGCCGATCACCGGATCCGCATCAACCCCCAAGTCCCTGGCAGCAGGAACACGCTGGAAGAGACACTTGTCCTGAAGCGCCACGTTCCCTGTCGTACAAAACGAAACCTCTGCGTTATGTCAAGTTTGTTTTGTCTTTCATTTTGTGTTTTCTTCTTCCGTTTAAGATTTCTTTGTGTAAACATCAAAACTTCCTGTCCCGTGTTTCATTCCCGTTTTTAAAACCTTCCGGTTGGCTGTTTCAGCACCTGCTCGACAATTACCTCATTCCCAAAGCATCTCCGGCAGAGAGCAAGGTGTTCTACCTCAAAATGAAAGGAGACTACTTCAGATACCTGTCAGAGGTGGCTTCTGGGAACACGAAGCAGGGTAAGTGTTTTCCTGGGAGTTGTTTAAGGGGGTGTTGAACTTTCGGGTTGAGCTCCTAAACTGTCTCGGACAGTCGAGTTTTTACGGATTTGAACCAAAAGGCAGGAAGGGATTTTTATTTATTTATTTATTTGCGTGCTTCTGACGCTGTTTGCTTTGTTTCTAAAATTGTCTTGTTTAGAGAAAATATGTAAACATCTAGAAGTGATTTTATCGGTCAGAGAGATGGCGTCTGCTTTAGGGCTGGGCGATACGGCCTAAAATCAAAATCACGATATATTGAGGATTTCACCTCTAGCCTAGCCTGGCCTGCCAGACTCGTCTTCTGTTTAATTCTGCACAGAGAAAGAGTCTGGTCATTCACAGGCAGAGAGGCACTTGAGGGGCGGGACTAGCCAGCTTAAAAATAACCAATCAGAAAAAAGACAGAAATGCCGACTGTGCCGCGCAGCGCTGTAGTTTTCTAGCCGTTGGAGGGTTATCTCCCTGCTACACCGATGCTACACCGTAGTAAATAAAAGGCGTCTGGCAACCAGGGCTGGGCGATGTGGCCTAAATTCAATATGATGATATATTGAGGATTTCACCTCGATAACGATAATCGGACGATAACTACAGGTATGCGCAGAAACAAAAGTTGTCCACTAGATGGGGCTGTCACGTGTATTACTTTGAGTCACATTTTTACGTGACTGCATGTGTTACAGCTTCTTAAAGGGACATGAACTTTACCAACCTACACACACCTTTTCATTTTTGTATTATCAAGTTTATTGACATGGAAAAAACGATCACGATAAGAGTCAGAAATTTCGATTACGATATATTTTCGACTTATTCCCCAGCCCTACTGGCAACGGCGCAAACATCTTTTTATTTATTTATTTTTTTTTAATTATTTTAGAAGAAAGGCTTCTAGCGCTTTACTTGTTTTAAAGACATTCAAGAAGTCTTTAAAACAGAGGAAAGAGCCGCGGCGAACTCCACCACTGTCGTCGTTGTAAATGAGAAACTTGGCGTCTCTGTGTGTGACGTCCGCGATGCTGTCATTTTTTTAGCTGTGGTCAAACATCTTTCTTTAGCAGAAAGCTTTTTAGCGCTTCTACTTGTTGTGGTTTTAACGTGTCCCAAGTCATTTAGAACAGAGGAAAGAGCCGCAGCGAACTCCGCTTCAGTTGCCACGTTTATGACAAACTCGGCGTTATGGGTGTGATGTACGCTACTCAGCGCTGATTGGCTCGATTAGAATTCTCACAGGGTGGGGTTATTTGAACAGGAGAGTTCCCAGACCCTTTCTCTGTGCAGAATTCAACAGAGGAGGAGTCTGGCAGGCCAGGCTACCTCTAACCATGAGTGGACGATAACTACAGGTATGCGCAGGAACAACAGTTGTCCACTAGGTAGGGCTGTCACAGGTATTAGGTTGAGTCACATTTTTATGTGGCCCATGGTGGTACAGCTTCTTAGAGTCAGAAATTTTGATGATGATACTTTTTAGCTTTATTGCCCAGCCCTAGTCTGTTTTATTCAGATTGGATTTAAGGGCAACTTCATAAAGAAATGTTTGTATGATTTAAAGTAAATAAGACAATTACTGAGAACTTTCTTCAGAAGCTCATGAGGAAGCCTTGTGGAAAAATGAATTTAAAGCAATAAAACCTTTAAAAACAACAGGGAAAATCTGTCTGGATCGTTTCAGGAAGTCCAGCTGCACCTTCACTTGTACAGCAACAGTACCATTATTAGATCTCACCTCCGATTGGTTCATATAAAATATCCTGTAGAACCGAATGAAATAACCAAAGAAAACCTCTATCTGTCCCTCTGCTGCTGTAAAGAGTGTGATGGCTTCATTCTGTGTTGCCTAGAGACAAACCGTGTTTGTTGCCATGGCAACAGGAGGATGCAGCTGCTCTAATCAGTTATCACAGGGTTAACTGGTCGTGTGTTTGGTTGTTTTGTTTCATTCTGAAATGAGTCATCTCAACATTTTTAAACCTAAATACTTACACACACACACACACACACACACATCCTGTTTCAATGCAGAAGTCTTACTAGAAACAGTAGAAAAGGTCCAGGTGGAGTTGAGAGCGGCTGCTTGGATTTATGAAAAGGTTTCGTTTCAGTAAAATTGAATGCAGCCTGTTAATTTTTTACACCTTTTTATATATTCATTCTGTTTTTCTTCTGAATGCATTTTTAAACAAAAAGCTTTTTTTTTTATTCCTGAAAGTGTTCTGTGTCATCTCCATTTGTTTACTGAATATTGTTTCCTATGCTATTGCAGCCATTTTTAACTTCACTGTTTGTATTTGATATGAAAACAGGTCAAAGTGGCAGAAAATTCAATTCCTCAAAAGTATTGAAGTAAAACTGATGTAAGAACCTCGAGTGTGACATCTCTCCAGCCGCGGGCTTCCTCTGTGAAGCCGTGTAACGTTTACCTGTGCAGCAACGTAACGGGGGGGGGCTGTTTGTGTGTTAAAGAGACGGTTCAGAGCTCTCAGAATGCCTACCAGGAGGCCTTCGACATCAGCAAGAAGGAAATGCAGCCAACACACCCCATCCGACTGGGACTGGCCCTCAACTTCTCCGTCTTCTATTATGAAATCCTCAACTCGCCCGAGCAGGCCTGCTCACTGGCCAAGCAGGTGGGTGGAGATCAGATGGTTTGCACACAGATGGCTGTTTAACAGCAAGTTAAAGTGTGTGACAGCCTTTGAATCTAGTTTCAAAATAAACCGTCACTAATCTTTGTTACGCTCCCGGCAGGCTTTTGACGAGGCGATCGCTGAGCTCGACACCTTAAACGAGGACTCGTACAAAGACAGCACGCTGATCATGCAGCTACTAAGGGACAACCTTACTGTGAGTCGAGACTCGGACGTTTGTGCTGCTGCTCCTGGTTTAGATGAGCTGCTCCCAACAGCAGCGTCAGCTTTCTTAACTTCTGACCCTCATGAAGTGAAAATATTCTATTAGGAATTGTGTTTTTGCTTTTTTGAATTTCTGAAAGTCGTTTTGTGACCCAAAGTCAGTGTGTTGGTTTAAATTCTGTTTGTTTTTTGAGTCACGAAAAGGAAGAGCATGTATAAAGATTTAAGATCAGGGTTGATGAGGGACAGATCGTCTGGCCTACAGTGTGTGTTTTGTAGCTGAAGATGTGATCCGTGGGAGCTGAAGGTGTGTTTTTGTGTGTTTGCAGCTGTGGACATCAGAAAACCAGGGCGACGAGACTGAACCCGGCGACGGAGAGAACTAGAGCGCACTTCACTGTTAACCCATCCCTACTCTCTTCCTCCTTTCCCTTCTATCTCCTCTTACGTACACATAAACGGCCCGTTGATTCCATCGTCCCTCTCTTTCGCGCCCGGCCTCCTGACTTCCCTTCTGTATAACCAACAGCATGAATAGAACCCACCTTTCACAGACAAATATTCATGAAAAAACGGGGGATGGGTCCAGAAAAACCACTCCATCACCCTAAACTCAATCCTCCTTTTCTTCTTACCCACCCTCCCTCCAATCATGGCACTCCAATGCAGGTCAGCAGACCACAACCCTCTGACCAGTTTAGTCTTATAGCACGCAGGGAGGGTTTTTATCCCAAATTATGGAATAAATTAACCTCAAATCCACCTTCTCTCATCTTTACTCTCCTTGTTTAATCCTATAATTCTGTTTCCTCCCTTCTTCCTAACATCTCAATACATTCTCTCACCCTCCTTCCCCCTACTTCTCTAGTGAGTGAAAGCATTTATATAGTTGTCCATTCCTTCTTATTTTGGCTTTCCATAGTGTACTGGCAAACTGGCTGGTTTTATTCCACTTTAAACAAAACAAAGGTTATTAAACTGTCTGTTTATTTTCAACAAACGCTGTGATGCTTAGTTTTTCCTCCACCAAGTCTCCAACATGATGATGATGATGATGATGATGAACGATGTGGGAGGGGCGTAGTGTGAGCAGCAGTGTCGTCCTGCTGAGGTTTATACAGAAGGGTCCTCCAGGGCTGTATTGTGACCCTGACGACCTCTAAAACGGGTTTCCACCTGCTGCCGAGCCACGCTCGCAGCTTCTGTTAGCTCCAACAGGGACCCAATCATGAGACCAGTTGAAACATTTCCTATGTAGGAAAAGAAATTGGGCAGAAAATCGGCAAAGATGCAACATTCCATCTTTACGTTTGAGATATTTAATGCAACCAAACAGGACACGCCCCTTTCCCCTGAAACCCCGCCCTGTCAGGCGCCACCAACCATCAGAACTACTGCCCCTGAAGTTATTCCTTAACCACGCACTTGGTTTGGTTTGGTTTGTTTTTCAGGATGTGTATTTGAATGACAAATCAACTTGCTTTTTTCTTTTTTTTTTTTTTTTTTTTTTTTGTCAAACTGTAAAACATTTTGAGCTCAACTGTAAATTTTTTGTTTAGGAGAGCTGATATGGTTTGTGGATGTTAACACCTGCTTGCAGATAAAACTTCAAAGCTGTTAAAGTCGGCTGCTGTTTAATGGATTGGTGTTTTTGCTGGGTTTTTTCCCCTAGTTGCCTTCCGTGTTGGTTTTCGTTATGTCCCTTGCTGCTTTTACCGACAAGTTAAGTCAAGTCTGTCATTTCCACTCCTAGCTGAGTGGCGCAGGAATGCATTTGGAAGTGGATCGCCCTGTGGAATGACACTGCAGCTTCTTGCGGGATGGGATTGTTCTGTTTCAGCCAATCGGGCAGTTGGTGAAATTCTTAATTTGGTTATAAGAGAAAAGAGGGAAAAAACTGTAAATTACAGGTTAAGAGCCAAATCGTAGCTGATCAGCCAGTCGAGGAAGAAAGATCCGTTTTAAGACAAATTCTGTTGATTAAATTAAACTTTTTCTAGCTCTCATTTTTTAGATATTTACTTTTTGTTACAATCAGAAAACTGCCACCTTGTGGTTTATTTTTTAAACATCAAGATTTACCAAAAAAGGCTTTAAATAAACTTCTCCTTGCCCCAAATATTAGCCGATGTTGGTTAAATAGAACACGTTCCCCTTCAGTGTCACAATAACCTCGTCTAAGCACCATGACATTCCACTCTGTAGAGGTAGAAAAGCCATGTCTCTTTTTTTTTCTCTTTACCTGGTTACAAATATTTTCATGCACTGACATTTTAAAAGGTATAAAAGAAAAAAATCTCCCTGTTGCTCTTTTACTCTAGCTGAACAAAAAGGCCGTTATTCTGCGCTTTCTAAGGAGAACTGATCCATGCAGTAGTGAATGTGGCACCGAGCCTGTCTGTATATCTGGTATCTGATATAATTTTGTTTTTACTGACCAGTATTCTGCTTAAAATAAAAAAAAATCAATCCAAAAATAACAAAAAAAAGTCTGCTTTTGTGACGGTTTTATTGCTTAGCGCGCACGTGGTTGTGAAACTTTAGAGTTAGCTTAAGGACACCAATAAAAGTCAGAAAATGGTTAAATAATTTAAAAAGTCGCTCTTTGAATATCCCTTCTTTACCCTGGTTATTGACGTAATGATAGATTTGTGTCTGTCTTTTAAAAAAATCCAACTAGTTTCACCTGACGATGTTAACAGGACAAAATGTAAAAGACAATTTAAAGTGAAATAAAGGTTTTATCAGTTCCAAATCAGCCCTGCTCTGTTTCTTATCACCTCCTAATCTGGTAATGCTTCATGTTTTCTCTTTATGTTGCATAAAAAAACTCGTCGTCCCAGTCGTGCAAGATACCAGAGCTACGGAAACCGTAGGAACAAAAATGCAAATATCCCGACAACTTATGGCTCCCATGCTGCTTCAGTCAAAAGATGCTAATTTTAGTGGTTTGGTCTTCACACTAAAGGGTGAATTAGGGTGTGACGCAGGAGTCTGTCTGGATGAGTCACCGTCAGCAGTTTTCACATCTGACTCAAAACCTATTTGTTCCTGTTATATTAAATTATAATTTAGGTAAAAAAGTCATTTTGATGAACAGAAACTAATAATTTCGTACCAACAAGCTGAAAACCTACCACGAGCTCCTGTTTCCCCAATTTCATTACTTACAGATTTTATGGATAGAATTTATGAATGCACACTGGATTATTAATCCCAAATGTAAATGCTGTAGTTATGATTTAATCAGTCCTAAATAAAGACTACATTTACCTCCATGTTGCATGGATGAGCTTGGGGTGTCTGATGTACCATAGCAGAAAGTCTGGCCCCTCTTCAAGTCTTCTTGCCATGGAGAAGCAAAGAAATGCTTGTTTAACGCATCATAAACGTATTCACGTCCCGAGACAGAGGGGGTGTTTGTGGAAAAGGGTTGGGAACCACTGGTTTTGGGAATGGGAGTGGAAAAAGCCCTGTTTTCTTAAAGGTTAAATGGTCCATTCCTAATGTCTATTCTCATAATTTCATGAGTTTGACCTGTATTTGTTCCCTTGGAACTTCTACCTGAAGAAATATTTGTTATTTTTTGGGTTTGTAGTTGTTTGAACACATTGCTGCTGCTGCTCTACTCCGCTTGTTCTGTTGAGTCACCGCTCTGTCCTTTTCAGTGTTTTTCGGCGGCGGCCCATCAGAGGGAGAGCTTCAGAGGTGTGTGCAGTGGTTGACTCACCGCTCTGAACTGCTTTGGTTTCAAATTGGTTAGGGTGTGGCGTGCTCCGTGTTCTGGTTGGTTTAAAATCCACTGAACAGTGTTAAAAAGCAGTTTTGGGCTCCGGTGGACGAACCTTTCACAACTGAATGGTTTCTGACGGTTTTATTGTCATGTTTGTAACTGTAGACCACTGTTTACAGGAAACGTGATCTGCTATGAGCTAATGCTGTAAAAACTGAGTCGGGTTAGACGTCGTCCGAGTTCGCTGCCAAACCCATCTAAAAGGTTATTACAAGCTCTAAGTAGACTTCATCAGAAGTGCTTTCCTGTTTTATTAAAAGCTCGGTGATGCAACACTGCAGGTTTTTTGTCTGTTTATTACAAACAGAACCAGTCGTGAAATGGTTTAAATCTCCTCTGTTAACAGGGGAAATGTTCTGGACTGTTTTCGTGCACATAAAAATCCTGGCGCCTCTGCTGGTTGCTTGGCAACCGCAGTGAGTGATGAAAGTCAGATGCATCTCCCCTCTGTAAAAATGGTCATCTGTTTTACACCTAACATGCAACACGATGAGGAAATGTTCTGAGACCGGCCCACTTTACGATGAATGTTTGAATTACAAAGACTTTTTTTCTCTAGGGTTTGATTATTTTTTTACATCTGGAGTTAAAGCAGAAGTAAGAATTAAACGTGGATGGAGTCCAGAACAGAACCACCTCACAAAACATGTCAGAAATGTAACTTTTGTTGTCATTAAAGGGCATAAACTTTGTTGTGTAGCATACATGCAACAGTCCTAGCTAGTATAGAACTGCTTTAATTCTTCATGTCTTGGAAACTTCCTGGTCCGTATCGTCATGACAACATCTGCTTCATACATAATGTGAATCTCCTGTTCCACAGGGCTGGGTGATTTGACCTAAAATTAATATCCAGGTATATTGAGGATTTCACTTCGATAAATAAAATTGGGCAATAACTGCATGTGTCCTTATCCTACACATGTATGCACAGAAACAAAAGTTGTCCACTAGATGGGGCTGTCACAAGACCCAAGGTGGTAAATGACCCGCACTTGTATAGCGCCTCTCAGAGTAAGGACTCCAAAGCGCTTTACACTACAGTGCATCATTCACCCATTCACACACACATTCATACACCTATGGTGATGTGCTACAATGTAGCCACAGCTGCCCTGTAGCGCACTGAGAGGCGAGGCTGCTGAAGCACAGGCGCCACCGGTCCCTCTGACCACCACCAGCAGGCAAGATGGGTTAAGTATCTTGCCCAAGGACACAACAGCAGAATTCTCTGTCCGGAGCCGGGATCGAACCTGCAACCTTCCGATTACTGGACAACCCACTCAACCTGTTGAGCTACTGCTGCCCCACAGTACAGCACAAAAGGTACAGCTTTTTACAGGGACATGAAACAACCTACACACAACTTTTCATCGATTTATCAAATGTATAGACTTGGGGAAAAGATATCGGTTAGAGTCCAAAATGTCGATAATGATACATTTTCAATGTATTGCCTGGCCCTAGTTCCACCATATCCCAAAGGTTCTGGATCAATAAACCCGTTATGTTCAAGAAACCAGTTGGAGAAGATCTGAGCTTTGTGACGTGGTGCATTCTCCTGCTGGAAGGTGTATCCATGTGGTCATAAAGACATGGACATGGTAAGAAACAATACACAGGTGGTGCTAAGGTGTTTAAAGTTGGACAAGACTATCTCCCCAACACCATTACATCACCACCCCCGTGCATAAGCATGTATATAAAGCAAGATGGATCCATGCTTTTATGTTGGTGACAACAAATGCTGACCTGACCATCTGAAAGTTGCAACTGAAATCTAGAAACAGTTTTTCCAGTCTCTTCAGGTCGACTTCTGGTGGTCCTGAGGGAACTGTAACCTGTTTCCTGTTAGAAGAATACCACATCTCAAGATAAATATCATGAGATGACAATTCATGACAAAAATGAATAAAGGTCATCATGGCATCCCAAGAAAGGCAGAATCGGCAACCTGAAAAGGTAGTAAAAAAGAATCAACAGGTCACGCTGAAGCCAGACAAGTTTTCATCGGCTTTTAAAGGAGACCACTGAGTCCACTGATCTGAGGGTAGGGGTGGTACCTGGTGTGGTCTTCTGCAGACGTTGCTGGGAATCAGCACTTATCTAAACTGCTGTTGTATTTCTATCATCTAGAACCTGTCCGCTCTGAAAGCAAAACTTTCTTCCACACAACTGCTACTCATTCCCTGTTATAGACCATTCTGGCTGGGGGTGATAAACCCAGTAGTTTCTGAAGTCAACCAGACCAGATACTAAATCGCCTTTCAACATTCCGAATCTGTCTTCACCTCATCTGTGTGCATCGATCTCATCCAGTTGCTGCCATTTGATTGGCTGATTAGTTGTTAGCTTTAAAACCAGCCCAGCCTACAGCGTGGCTGGTGAGTGTGCGGTGTAGGATGAAAAATAAAAACCAGCTGGGGTGTGTTTTACTTTTTTATTTTGCAGACCCTAATTCCGAGCAGCAGATGGAAACAAAGGCAGGCACTTCAGGTATGGTGGTGATGTAAAGCTACAACAGGATCCGTAATAAAAGACTTACTTACGATAAAAAGAACAAGATGGCCGAGAGACAGAGCTTTGTACGAACCCACGTGAGGACGTTTAAACAGCCGGGGAACTGATCCCAGACCAGATTAATCTGTCAGCACGAGACTCCACTTCCTCTATCAAACTTCACAATATTGAAATAGTTCAAGAAATATGCAGATTTCCAGTGGAAACAAACTTATGTTTAAAGAAATCTACATCTTCTGCCAGATGCCCAAACAGAAAATTCACTGAGAACAAAAAAAAAACTACCCGAGTGCAAAACAAACAAAACGGGTCATTAAACACCAAACAGGCCCTTATGACCACCAACAGGTTATGTGAGTAAACTCTGGTGCCTCCAGGCGAGAGGTGGGGGACACCTGCATGCGTCACAGGTGAGGAAAGGGAGTTTTATTTTGGAAAACGATGACGGCTGTGGTTTATTGCTTTCTCTGTTCAGAATGATCACCTTCATGTTTTGTTTTCTAATTATGACTTTGTGGGGTCAGAAATAAGATTGTTTCCAACAAACAACCAAACATCCTTTGTGTCACTAAAATAAATAATAGAGTACTGATTTGTTAACTTGTTGAACTGTTGGGTGACTTTTAGTCTGCCTGGGACCAGATTCACGTGTTTGAACAGAAGGTGATAACGTTTGTTTTTTCTCTCAGCTCACATAAATAAGCATAAATAATTGAAAGTGACAAACTCTTAAATCGCAAGTGCTTCAGTCCACCTCGGTTACTAGAGACCGATCATGTGGAGCTGCTCTTTCCAGAAGCATCTTGGGCTGAGCTCGTGTTTCTTTGAGTAAACAGATGAAAGCAGCGGAATCGTGCAGCCGGCTGGCTGCAGCGTCACTCCCGTGTGCTTTCACTTCCTCTTCTGCACCTCCTGCAGCATCTTCCCAGCAGCCGAGTTCTTCGGTTCCACCTTCAGCAGATTGTTCAGGTCGTCCACGCAGGCTTTCACGTCCTGCAGGAGCAATAATAGCAGACAAGAATGGCAAATGGCCTGTATTTGACATGGTCCTTTGACCCCCCCCCCCCCCCCACCACCACCACCACCACCCCAAAAGTGTTTTACAACACAGTCATTCACCCATTCACACCCTGGTGATGATGAGCTACAATGTAGCCACAGCAGAGGTGAGGCTCCCGAGGTTTTGAGACGAGGACGAGCGCAGACTTTAAACTCCATAGTTGGATAAACTTTTCAGCATTTTAAACATCAAATTCAACAATAAATTCATGGATCGCGTAAACCAGTACGGTACCAACGTGACAATAAACGCTAGTCTGGCATTTTTGTGAACATTAAGTTTTAATTTAAGCAGCAAACCTGCCAAACACTTTCGGGCTTTTAGCTAATACTTCAACACACACACACAATCACTATTGTATCACTGGGAGGAGAGAGGCGTCCTGACTGTGTGACACACAGATGAAGACACTGCCATGTCTGCGATTACTTCTTATCCCACTCTGAGATCTCGGACTGCTGTGAGGCTGAAAGGCGGTGTGACGAATCTCCATCTCTTACCTTGAGCTCTTTGTGGGCCTGCGCCCTCCTGTAGAGAGCCTTTATGTTGCTTCCATCAATCCTCAGAGCCTCGTCGCAGTCCTTGATGGCGTCTCTGTACTGCTTCACCGACAGGTAACATAGCGCCCTGATTGCACGTGCACACACACGCACACACACAGAAAATCCATCTTACATACCTGAAAGCTCTAGAAAGTTTCACTTCAAACAGCTTCCATTTTTGTAACTTTTCCAGTAAGTTGTGTAAACATCTGCATACGAACCACCAGGGAGTATTTTGTTAAATGATGGCTAAACTTTGCTGACCGTGTGGCTCTGTTGGCATTTCCCTTTTAACTTCCTGTGCAGCACGTTGGTGTTACTTTGTACCTGTGAAGTGCTTCATCAGTAAAGATCGACTTGACTTGATGTGGCTGTTACCGCCCACTCCCAGGACGTTCAAACCTATCATTATTATTTACTACTGCCTTAAACTCAAATAACCGAAAAAGCTGTGTAGGGTGGAGGTTGGAATGAGAGGCCGATGATGGTTAACAGGTTAGTGGGGAAATTTGGCGGACAACCACAGAAAGTTATCCTGGGGACAGAGAGCAAAAGTCGGTTTGCCCTGGAAGGTTTTCCTGCACCCTGCTCCGGTTCTCGAAAAGTTTCAGAATCCTGGAGCTTAGTGCGGGGTATGATGCGCAGCAGTGCATGCCACCTGTGTTGCACGACTCTGGGCAAAACCAGGTGGACATGCCGCCTCACAAACGCAGAGATCCAGAGCTGGAATCATCAGCCTTTAGGGCCGCTCCTGAGCACCGAAACTCGGCAAAAACTGGGAGCAGGAGCGACCTGGGTCGGAGGCAGGGAACTGGGCATGAGTCGTTACCAGGATTCATTTCCAGCTGCTAGCTTAGCTAGTCTAGGGGCTAACTGAAGAACACGGCCATGGGGGGGGGGGGGGGGGGGGGGGGGGGGGGGTTGCTGCACACGTTCCGCTGCTGTTTCTCACCAGGGAGGGCTCTAGTTTCGATGCGCCCTTCGTGTCAGCAGACACGGTAGGGTCGGGTAGGGGGGCGGTAGGGATGGGTACCTTTGACATTTGAATCGATTCTGTACTAATTCCCGGTACCTAGGAATCGGTACCGGTACTTAACGGTACCAATTTTCGATACTTTTGAGTGTTTATTATTTTAATTCTCTTTTATAATTAAATACATATTTTTCTCAATATATAACCATATTTGATAAATATCACGATAAGTAACATTTAACTGTTTGTATTTTAACATCGTCCTTGTAGTTTTATAAGCTGATAATTAAACTGAAGCAAACATCTTTACTGTGAACTAAATTTACTGTGTATCTTCATTCCTTTTACCGCCCTTTTTCGTTTGATTTTTTCTACTGGGAAGTTAGAATTTCCGAGGAGAAAGCGAACGCACCATTAGCTGATAACAACGGTGGTAATGGAAGCTAACATATCAAGCTAACGTTATCTTAAACAGTTTATTTAACTGCTGGAGCAGATTAAAACGATGATGCCTCACACTTAGATCGTTGTCACTGGTTTCATCTTCACCCAATCACCTGTCGCATTTAGTAAAGTGAAGCCAAACTAGAGCGCGTTCATGTTCTTCTAGTCAGAAATTCGGAGTTCCTAGGAGAAAGCGAACGCACCATTAGCGAAACGGAAGCTAACATATCAAGCTAACGTTATCTTAAACATTTTATTTACCTACCGGAGCAGATTAAGATGAGGATGTCTCCCTTAGATCGTTGTCGCTGGTTTCATCATCACCCAGTTACCCATCCCATTTAGTGAAATGGACCCAAGCTTTAGCGTGTATTCTTTCCACCATGCTGCTCTGTTTACAACTGGCTCGCAGCGACCGACGACATAACGCTCTTGCGCATGCGCAGCTGCCTAGGCAAGTTCTAGTTATGATGGACGGGTTCCGAAACGAGGCACCGTTTGAAACGACGTGAATCGGTGCTCGGTCGGTACTATGGAATTCGGTCGGTACCTTAAAAAGTACCGAATTCGGTACTCATCCCTAGGGGCCGGGGCATGGCGCTTACATGGCGGGTGGCCAAGCTTATAAAGCGCTGGAGGAAACCCTGACTACAAAATGCACCTTTAACAACAGAGAGCTCTAACCGACCTGTTGGTGTACGTCGTCACCTCGCTGGCATTGTGTTTGAGGCTCTGGCTGTACTTCTCGATGGCCTTCCTGTGCTCTCCCTTCTTAACCAGAGCGTTGCCTTCCTCCTTCAGCATCTGGGCTTTCTTTAGCTCTTTGTCACTTGGTGCTGATGTAAAGGAAACAAGAAAAGCTTTAGGGTTTTAGCAACAGTTCTTTCACTGTCTGGTTTCTGTAGAGAACAAACAGAAACACACCAGGTTTGTTGGTTTGCTTGATGCCATTCTGCAGCGGTGCAGCTTTCGGGGGCATGGCGCTGGCTCCGGCTTGCTGGGCAAGCTTTTCCCTCACGGCCAGCGGGACAGTTGGAATTGGAGGAAGTTTCTCTCTCCACGAAGGGCCGTCTGCCTCTGTGAGCGCCTTCGTCATCCTGAGGAAAAAAGGGGACATCAATGTGGGGCTGAAAAATCACGCCTTTAAAAAAAAATAGATAACATTTAGAAATGTATTTAGCTCTCTACCATAACTGAACACAGAATGACCATTTAAGCAGCTTTCGGACCTGTTGGTGCCGTCGTGAGCAGACACTATGTTGAAGTCGATCTGCAGAACGGTTTTGTAATCGATGTACGCCTGCCTGTAGCGCTCCAGAGCTTCATAGGCAGCGGCACGCCGAAGCAAAGACTTCACATTGAACGGGTACAACTCCAGGGACCTGACGAGAAAAACAAATGTTCTTAAACTGGAATGATCACAGAACCAACTACAAATCTGGTAGAAATAAATCCAAAAATCAAATGTAAACACTTACATTTCACAGTCCTTCACACATTCTGCACAGCTGCCGTCCTTCAGGTAGCTGGCTGCCCGGTTTGAGTACAAAATGCCTAAGTCTTCTGGGTTCTTGTTACCTTTGGGGGGGGGGGGGGGGGAGCAGGTCTTCAAATTAAAAGAGTTGCTTTCTTTTCACACGAACAGCAGATTTTATTCCAGGTTCTTCAAATATGTGCATGTGTGTCCTGCAGTGTTTTTTAAGCAGCTTGTATAAAAGGGACGTTCTAATCCTACCTACCAGACTTTTCCAGCTCCCTGATGGCCTGGCTGTACAGGCTGGTAGCTTCTCCATACTGACCCATCTTGAAGTTCTCATTACCGGCCTGTTTTAGCTCCGTCCACGACTTGGACTTGTGTTTCTGAGGCATAGTTTTGCTTTTAACTGTGGGGAAAAGATGCATCTTAGATTATCAAAGTTTTTAAATGATTCTTGTCATGTATCAAAGGAAATCTTAGAGACGGGCTGGATAAAGAAGGTATGCACTCAGATCCAGACAGATGTGTTGGGTTCAGTGAGTTAATAATATGTCTCTTTTTACTTTCCTTAACTTCAAGCATCCTGGTGAATTTGACCGACTGTGTTATATCTGGGCTACACAGTGGTGCAGTGGTTAGAGCTTCTGCCTTGCAGCAAGGGGGTCCTGGGTTCACCCCTGGGGTCTCTCTGCAAGGAGTTTGCATGTTCTCCCTGTGCACGTGTGGGTTCTGTCCAGGTACTCCAGCTTCCTCCCACAGTCCAAAAATAAGACTGTCAGTGTGTGCTTGGTTGTTTGTCGTGTGTGTCTCTGATGCCCTGTTTTCACATTTTATTTTGAAGAACCCACTGGAATCACTGTAAACCGAGACGTGTTAAAACACATAACACAGTCTTCTATCTAAATGTTTAATAGGGCTGCACAATATATCGAAAAATTATCGTCATCAGGATAACAGGACGTGCGATAGGCCCATCGCGAAACACAGCAAAAACAGCGATAAATGTTTGGTTCAAACATTTCCATCCATGTCATACATCAGCTCTGTTTTTTACGCAGAAGTATTATTTGACCAATCAAATGTAGCCCTTCTGATATGCGGCCAATCAGATGGGTCCGTTCATGTAATACGCCCGCCCCCTACATAGAACCTTTTGGAAAGCAACACCCGAACTGAGTTAGCGGCGCCGTTCCCTTGTTCGTCGTGCTGGCTCAGAGCAACGAACGTACTTTGTGCTGATGTTTCTGGAACCAGCGCTGCTTTCAAACGTGAACGTGAGTCCGCTCGGTGTCGTTAATCATTTTTACCGGGTTGACTCCGACACGTGCCGGTGAACCAACCCATCTTCATGTCGCTAGTGTTCCACCGGGTGGTGATGTTAGCCCCAGGCTCCGATTAGCTTCCAGCTAAAAGGCTACAGCACTCTCCTCCCAGTCCCACCCTGCTAAAGAGGGCCTGGAAAAGTTCCCCCACACATCAAAGTGATTTTTCATTTATGAGCCTTTATAACCTTGTTAATCAGGATAGTTGATTTGCTGCTGCACATAAACTGTCAGTCAGAAGCTCTGCTAGCCGGTTATCATGACACAAGAATTTCCCTCGGGATAAATAAAGTTGTTCTTATCTTATCTTAAGAGGAGCTAGTTCAAATATTTAGCTTGTTAACAGAATCATAGTTGCAGTTTCATCATCTGAGCTGCTTTTTAAGATCTAGGTAAACTTGTTCAATTTGGGGTTAAAAACAAACATTTTAACATATTTTCCATGTAGTTTTTTTGCCAGTTCCTCTTCTGAAAGGTAGACAATTGTTTTTCTCTTTCCCTCAGAAAATCTAAATATTCTCCTAGTTTGGCCCAGCACAGATCACTTCCCAATTACAGCAACAGCCTTATATCATGACCACATAAGTGGAGAAAATGCTCAGTAGCAATGAGAGAATTTGCTGTTGCATTTATGTTAACTATTATAAACTTATTTTCTGATTTTTTTATTTACACAAAAAACCCTGGTAAGGGATGTTTTTCTGTATTTGGAGCATCAGAAAGTTTATGGTGGAGGTGATGTTTTAAAGTCACTGAGAAACCGCATGCATGCAGTTTGTTGTTTTGCTGCTAATACAGTAGCAGGTGCAGCTGCATATTTTTGCAATAAAAATGTTTTGTTGTAATGGAATTCATGCCTTAGTTTTTGTTTGCTTTGAACCCAGAGCAGACATCTCACGCCAGACGACATCAACACTGCATACTTTAGTATTTGTTCATTTATCGTGAGTAATATCGATATCGCAATATTAAGCACTGTTATCGAATATCGCAGGTTTTCCTAATATCGTGCAGCCCCAATGTTTAACCATAAAATATTTCCCAAATAAAATAATAAGAAAAGTATTCACCTGTTGCAGCTCTCATACATTCTGGTTGAGAGGTTTAACTGATTTAAAATGTCCCCATGCTTACAACAGGCTTATAAACCTGCATTCAAGTAATACACAGCCTGGAGGATTATAAAACATGTTAATATCAGGCTAGCGTTACTCTAAGCTAACTTTAAACATTCACTTTCTCATATGTCCTCCTGCCATCACTGTAACCAAATGGCTCAGTTTCACTTTTAAAAGCTGCTCCACTTTCAGTTAAATGTGTCAAGAAACAAAATTCAGAAGCTAATGAGGACATAGTTGTAACTTAGCAGCATTTGACTTGTTTAGCTGGTTTAATGATTTAATTACACGTTGGAGAATCCGGTGTCCTTACCTAATGTGCAGCTTATCTGAAATATGACTATGAATAAAAGGTTTGAAAGACGAGGCCTTTCGTGTTTAATTTTTCTGGCTAAATCTATAGCTAGTGTTAGCCTAGCTATGCTAATGCTAGCTGCTCTTACCCTGCTGTTACAGCGGGGAAATGCTCCTCTTCTGATCTGATCCAAAGTGACTTCAGGCGCCCGTCTTTACCGTCAGACCAAGTTATACTAGTATTACTCTGGTGTCGCCTCGTACTTCGTAACACGCGGTTCTGCCCGGTCTCTCTGCGGAGTGGACGTACAGAAGTTGCCGGGTGGCTCTGGGAACTTCTCGGGTTGCCTGCAGGTTGGTGGGTGCAGTGCGGAGGAGGAGGAGGATGAGAAGGAGGCACACGGTTCGGTTTCGCTTCGTTTTAAAGCGGCGTTCATGTATCACGTAAAGTGTAGGAATTTATAAAACTTAAAAGACATGCGATTAAATCCATTTTAGAAATAAAGAAATAGAGACATATTATGTTTGTAAATAGTTTAACAGCTGTAACTGTAGAGAGAATTCCTTCATATATCCCGTTTCCCTATAATTTTTCTTGAACAAAACACCTGGCTGTAATTTCCGTGGGTTGGCCATTTTTTCTACAGCCTATGAATGCATCATAGGATTGACGCAAATCCCACCCCCACACACACATACGCGCACACACACACACACACACACACACACACACACACACACACACACACACACACACACACACACACACACACACACACACACTAATGTTACGGAGGACGTTCTGTTTTTATTTGCTCCGTCTTTGCTGTTTCACTGTTATTGTATTTTCTTTCTGTAATTAATGAATTTTATTTTATTTTAATTTATTTTTGAGTATTTCATTAATTTTTTTTTGCTGTTTAACTTTTGTTGTTTTTAATCCCTTCCTATTATTTATTGTGTTAATTCTTAGTTTTTTTTTAAATTAATTTAATGTATTTTAAAACAAAAGACAACCATTCACATAGGCCTGGTATCAGTTTAGAGTTACCGGTTAACCCAACAGATATTTTTGGACTGTGGGATGAAACCGGAGACCATGTGCATATATAAGACTACAGCTGAGATTTGAGCAATTTACACCTTTTTGTAGTTAGGTTGTCAACCTCTTAATATACATTGTACATTTTTGTACAATGTCTGTTAACATTTTACAAATTGTGCAAGAAAAGATAAGGAGAAAAAAGAAAAATAACATATTTATTTTAAACAAGAAATTACATCTAATTTGACATGACACAAAATGAAGAAACATAATTTCACGTTTTATGTGATATCTCTTCGATCTAGTTTGGGTTGTACTCATTCTAAATTTTGTGAGTGTGTGTGTGTTATCCTGTGTGTTTCTGTGTTGCCCTGCGATGTACTGGCTCTCTGTCCAGGGTGTACCCTGCCTGATTGCCCGTTGACCGCTAGACATAGGCACCAGCACCCCCGCAACCCTGCATGGACAAAGCGGGTTCAGAAAATGGATGGATGGTGTTTCCATCACTCCAGGGTATTTCTTGTGACAGGGAACGTGACCAGGAGATATGACGTCCCAGTCTTCTCAGCTGTTGTGTGTCCATTCAAGTCCATCCCTTGCAGAACTTGCACAGACGTCAGCATATCACAACTGCTTTGGCAGTGAGTGATGTCACCGATCAGCACCAAAAAGCACCCAAAGTAAAAGCATTTATTTTATGTCATAATGTACTCCATTCAGAGGACTAGAGCAGCTCTGAGTTTTGTGAGACATGCCCCGTTTATTACGTCTGTGGGGAATTCCACAGAGTTTTCCATATCAGGAGTTCGATTTTTTTTTTTTATTTAACAAGTTTTATTTAACCAATGAAGCTTACCGGCTTGCATAAGAATCAATAGTTGAATTCTGAGCATGACAAAAAAAGCAGGTGTACAAACAGAAACAATAATATTAACCTAGCTCAATATCAACCTGCAGAAATCATAACAAAAAAATATTACATCAAACAACATTATTGGGTTAAAGGAAACATTCGCCAAATTGTTATAGAGCCAAATGGTTTTCTTGGAACTACAGAAATTAAGAGAATCCATAAAGGATGCAAGTTCTTTTAAAAAAAAAACAATAAAGATCGGTTTGATATTGCCAAATTTACATTTGTGTATAAAGAATTTGGCGAAAATAATCAAATTATTGACAGTGAATTGCTGCATTTTATTTTCCAAACTAATACCATACTTGATGTCAGAAAAAGATAAGGAGCGTATAATGAAATTATTATGCGTTAACCACGAGTGAAGACTATCCCAGAAAATAATGGTAAAGATGCATGTGAAAAATAAATGTATCTCAGTTTCTATATTAGAATTGCAAAAGGCACAATAGTTCTCTCCAATATTGAATTTAGACTGCAAGAAATCTTTGCAAGGATAACTACTATTTATAGTTTTAAAATGAACTTCCTTGGCTTTAGGAGGGATTGGGAATTTGAGATAGTTGCATCTAATGTTTTTAACTCAGAATTACTAAATTGACGTACTAATTCCCGTCTTCTAAGAGGTAAGGGAAAGAGAGCGTCAATGAGCCAACATCTAAGCAGTTCCTGTCCACATAAGAACAGTTCTTAATTGTTAAAGGAGGCATTTTTGGAATAAAGTGAGAGTACAACAAAGTGCCTTTCAAATTAGAATATATAGCTGGTGGGATTGCCTTCATTACCTCGGCATATTGCTTAGAAGAACAAGTTAGGTTAAATTTGTGATTGAAAGCCGTAAAATTAAGAAATTCTCCATTCTGGTCCATGGTTCAATCAATTTCCCTCTGGGATTAATAAAGTATTTTTGAATTGAATTGAATCGAATGCAAAATGGACCATACTCCATGGAGATGCCAATCATTAAAAAAAAGATTTCCTTTTAATCAGGATATAACGGTTGTTCCATATTGGCGTGTTGTGCGGTGTGAAGTTATGTGTATACATTCATTTCCATTATTGTAGAACTTGCTTGTGAAATTTGGATTACTTAATAGGGAGTTTGCTATAAATCAAAATCACATTGAAGAAGCAATTGGATTACGCCTACACTGGAGAACATTTTAGCAGGAAGATTAAACCACAACGTATTTATATGATTTATAAAATTTTGTAGCCATTTTAACTTAAGTGCACCATTCATTATATCGAAGTCGACTGCGTTGAGACCCCCTTCCTCTATTGATTTGATGATGTCATTCCTTCTTATATAATGATGTCTGTTTTTCCATATGAAGTTGAAATTGTTTTGGTTAATTTCTTTAATAATATTTTGAGGAATTCTTAGAGAATAAGCCGGATAGATAATTCTTGACAATCCTTCCATCTTGGATAGAAGTAATCTACCAAAAATTGAGAGATCTCTTTGTAGCCATAAATACTTTTACTCTTTTTAATTAAGCTCTCAAAATTACATTTTACTCTCGTTTCTAAGTTTTTTGAGATTGTATTCCCCAAATATTTGACTTGATCTTCAACAGGTATGCCATGCAGAGTTGTTTGAGGATGATCATGAATGGCCATTAATTCACATTTATCTAAAGGTCAGAGGCTTCTGAAAAACAATTAACTACTTGTAAAGCAATTGGGATCTGTTTCTTATTTTTAAGGAAGAGCGTAGTATCATCTGCCAGTTGAATTATAGCTAACGAATTACCAAAAACATCTAATTTCTCGATCTGACTATTCTTAATCATAATGCTGAGAATTTCCACGACCATGATAAAAAGATGAGGGGAGGCTGGACACCCCTGTCGGATGCCTCTTTCAATGTCGAAACGTTTGCAGGTTCCAGATGGCAACAGTACAGTACTATTAATATCCCTGTATAAGGTTTGAACAATTTCACACAACTTTGTTCCAAAGCCAAAATGGTGTAACGTGTCTAACATGAAGGAATGGTTGGCTCGGTCAAAGGCTTTGCAGAAATTCAACAAAAGGGCAAAGCCATCATCCTCAATTGTGTCTCTGTAATCTAACAAATCTAGGACCAACCTAATGTTGGTTTGTATGCAGAGCCGTTGCTAGCTATTTTGGTGCCCTAAGCACAAAGGCTTCGTGGTGCCCCCCCACCCCCACCGCAGAAAAAACAACACAATAACACAGTATGTGCAAGCGCTTCGCCTTAAATTATCTTTAATTCTCTTGTATGCACAAACTGCTTATTATTTACAAAAAGTAGGACTGATATTTACATAATATAACAGACTCAACACACTTCATATTGTTATTATTTAGAACTATGTAACAGGTCCACACAACACAAGCACCGATTGTGGCACACGTGTTTCTCCAATGTAATTTTCAGATGCTTTTTCAGATCCAGGACTCACTCTGCCTTCAGAAGTGCTGGCTGTGGGCCGTGCTCGGTCTGTAGATGTGCTTTACTTTGTTATTCCTGGTCAGGGCTGGGTGATGTTGTAGAAGGTTCAGACGTGATGGCTGACAACTGATCTTGAGCTCTTGAACTGCTGGTGGATGGCTGATCTGAACTTTTGGCTTGAGCCCCTCCTTGAATGTACTTGTTCATTGAGCCTGCATTCAAACACAAAAAGATAATTTGTCATATTCATTCTATAATAAGATTAAAGTTTTAAACCATGGTAAAAAAATACTGCAATAGATTATTTATAGGTTTGTATTGGCTTATAAATGACTGGCATGTGACATGACTAAATTCAAAACTATTTAACCTTTATTAAGAACTAGAGAGGCACAATATACACATTTTATACACAACTAGAAAATTCTGAATATGAAGGGAGGAGGTTAGCATAATGGACTTTTTTCTTCAAAATATACCATCAGCAGATGATGTTCCCCTTGGCCTGTAAATGTTTATGAAATATATATTAACATGGAGCAAATACCTAGTTTGAAAATAGGTTTATCTAATTTTTCATTTTAAATCTCAGTTACATAGCCTATAGACCATATGGGCTATTGAATAATGATATAAATCATGTCCATAGTTAACTCATGAATAATCACAAACAGCCGCTTATTTAAAAATAAAATGTCTTACTTTACCTTGACGGTGTTTTTGTCCTTCCTGTTTTTGTGATATTTAAGTATTTGGGTGGACAAATATGATTCATTTGTTTATTTCTGTTACAAAACAGCACAGATGGGCCTATCTGACCTCACAGAGGAAACTTTATTTTACTTGAGAAAGATGTTTTAAGATGAACTTATTAGATAACTTGACGGTGCGACACGGTCCATCTACTTTCCGTTTTGTGTTGTTTTCTCTCTGTAAACATGCTGTTAACTTGCTTTGCACATCTTCTAATTGAAATCTGTCTGTGTCATATACATATTATTTTTTTCATA